ACTTTGTTGCAAGATGCCTTGTAATCATAGGCATATCAGCCGGGGGGGAGGAGAGGGGGGCGCAAGCCCCCCCCCCCCCCCCCCCTTTCGACAGTGGTCACTGTCGGATGCGCACTGGGGAAACCAACAAAATTTTTGTTCACCACTGTAATCACACAATTATATTGTTACAAGAAAAAATATTACGAGGTAAAGGTACAATGTAGTGATAATTTTCCAACATTTCAGCAGTGACAATTTTTCATGAAGGCTCTTTGCGACGCTTTCCGCCATGTGCAGTGGCACTGCAGAGCAGGCTAGAGCTGAACAGGGGTCCTGTTGCATCACTTGTTCGTGTTTTTATTCTGCTGCGACTGGCCGATGCAGTTATAAATGGGACCGAACAAACTTTTTATGGACTCGTCAAAGCATTTGCTTCTTCAGGATAATCATTTTATTTTATCAAAAGGGTTGCCATCACCGCTGCTCTGTCGAAGCTGCTGTGAGCACATGGTTGCGACTAATCTTAATAAATATTTTAGTTATGCCGTACGGGAAGCGCCAAGAAAGGTTTCGGCTTTAATCTCAGTTATGATCAGCCTGGCTTATTGCAACTTGGAGCGATGTAGGCATCTTGCAAAGCTGCGACGAATAGAACAGTGGACTAGAGCTCAGTGGGAAGCTGAAATATGTCGATAAAATTCTCAAAATACATTTGGTTCCTCAAGATGTGCTTCACAGTTAAAAACTGAATTTTCCGTAAGCTGTTCCTAGTCATTGAAAATTTCATTCAATGATAAAATATTTACTGTTGGCGCGCCGAAGAAGTTCTTACTCTCTCTCTCTCTCTCTCTCTCTCTCTCTCTCTCTATATATATATATATATATATATATATATATATATATATATATATATATATATATATATATATATATATATATATATATATATATATATATATATATATATATATATATATATATATATATATCATCAGCCTGACTACGTCCACTGCAGGACAAAGGCCTCTCCCATGTTCCGCCAGTTAACCCGGTCCTGTGCTTGCTGCTGCCAATTTATACCCGCAAACTTCTTAATCTCATCTGCCCACCTAACCTTCTGTCTCCCCCTAACCCGCTTCCCCTCTCTGGGAATCCAGTCAGTTACCCTTAATGACCAGCGGTTATCCTGTCTACGCGCTACATGCCCTGCCCATGTCCATTTCTTCTTCTTGATTTCAGCTATGATATCCTTAACCCCCGTTTGTTCCCTAATCCACTCTGCTCTCTTCTTGTCTCTTAAGGTTACACCTACCATTTTTCTTTCCATTGCTCGCTGCGTCGTCCTCAATTTAAGCTGAACCCTCTTTGTAAGTCTCCAGGTTTCTGCTCCGTAGCTAAGTACCGGCAAGATACAGCTGTTATATACCTTCCTCTTGAGGGATAATGGCAATCTACCTGTCATAATTTGAGAGTGCTTGCCGAATGTGCTCCACCCCATTCTTATTCTTCTAGTTACTTCAATCTTGTGGTTCGGCTCTGCGGTTATTATTTGCCCTAAGTAGACATAGTCTTTTACAACTTCAAGTGCACTATTACCTATCTCGAAGCGCTGCTGCTTGCCGAGGTTGTTGTACATTACTTTCGTTTTCTGCAGATTAATTTTAAGACCCACCTTTCTGCTCTCCTTGTCTAACTCTGCAATCATGAGTTGCAATTCGTCCCCCGAGTTACTCAGCAATGCAATGTCATCGGTGAAGCGCAGGTTACTAAGGTATTCTCCATTGACTCTTATCCCTAACTGTTCCCATTCTAGGCTTCTGAAAACCTCCTGTAAGCACGCGGTAAATAGCATTGAAGAAATTGTGTCCCCCTGCCTTACACCCTTCTTGATTGGTATTCAGTTGCTTTCTTTATGAAGCACTATGGTAGCAGTTGATCCCCTGTGGATTTCTTCCAGAATGTTTATATATACTTCATCTACGCCCTGATTCCGCAGTGTTTGCATGACGGCTGATATTTCTACTGAATCAAACGCCTTCTCGTAATCTATGAAGGCTATGTATAGTGGTTGGTTATACTCTGAGCATTTCTCTATTACCTGATTGATAGTATGAATGTGGTCAATTGTTGAGTAGCCTGTTCGAAATCCTGCTTGTTCCTTTGGTTGATTGAATTCTAATGTTTTCTTTACTCTGTTAGCAATTACCTTTGTAAATAGCTTGTATACTACAGAGAGCAAGCTGATCGGCCTGTAATTCTTCAAGTCCTTGTCATCTCCTTTCTTATGTATTATATATATATATATATATATATATATATATATATATATATATATATATATATATTAGTGTATATCTAAGGGCTCGTTTTTCCGTGTTTTGACACAATATTAATGAGATCTAACAGACAATATTGCCAAGGAATGTATAGGGGAAGTTATTAGAACCAATGTAATGTAAATGAGAAGAAAGAAAAGTGGGTGAAAAAATAACTTGCCATGAGCACGAATCGAACTTACGACCTTCGAATAACGCGTTCGATGCTCTAACCACTGAGCCACTTTATTGGGTTTATATGTGAATTTAAATGTGGGAGTGTCAGTCAGCGCCCTCTGTAGCCATAGCGTCGAGTGCTGAACACCCTTTTGTGAGCCTGTGTGGCGTCACGTAGCACGTGAACTTAGTACGAGCAGGCAGCTGACCTATGGTCCCTCCTACACAACCTAACGGCACCCCAAGTCTGCCAGTACGAGACCCTCGTAAATGAATAAGAGAAAGAAGTGTATACCTAAGGGCTCGTTTTTCCGTGTTTTGACACAATATTAATGAGATCTAACAGACGATAATGCCAAGGAATGTATAGGGGAAGTTATTAGAAGCAATGTAATGTAAATAAGAAAGAAACGTGGGAATCGAAAATTGAGCATCAAATGCGTTATTCCAAGGTCGTAGGTTCGATTTCTGCTCACGGCAAGTTATTTTTCACCCACTTTTCTCTCTTCTTAGTTACATTAAATTGGTTCTAATAACTTCCCCTATACATTTCTTGGCATTATTGTCTGTTAGATCTCATATATATATATTCAGGTAGATCCTCCGTGAGCGGTCACAACATGGTTAATTTCGACGTTTCGGCCTAGAGTCTGGCCTTCATCAGGATTGATGAAGGCAAGACTCTAGGCCGAAACGTCGACGAAATAAACCACGTTGTGACTGCTCACGGAGGATCTACTTGACTATATGCAACGCTACGGCCCCTCAACCACCATGCCTGCCTACATATATATATATATATATATATATATATATATATATATATATATATATATATATATATATATATATATATATATATATATATAGAGAGAGAGAGAGAGAGAGAGAGAGAGAGCAGCAAACGCGTCATTCGAAGGTCGCAGGTTCGGATCCTGCCCATGGCAAGTTATCTTTTCACCCACTTTTTTTTCCTCATATTGACCTTAGAATTCGGTCTAATATCTTCCCCTATCCTTTCCTTGGCATTACACTCTGTTAGATCTCATAATTTCTGCGTAAAAACACGAAAAAACGAGCCCTTAAGTATACACTTCTTTCCTTAATTCATGAACGAGGGTCTCGTACAGGTAGACCTTGTGCCTTTAGGTTGTATACGAGGGACTATTGGTCAGCTGCCTGCTCGTAATAAGTTCACGTGCTACGTGATGCCAAACAGGCTCAAAAGAGTGTACCACACTTGCTGCCATGGCTACTGGCGGCGCTGACTGACACTCCCACGTTTAAATTCACATATAAACCCAACAAAGTGGCTGGGGGGATATCTGCCGTGGTAGCTCAGTGGTAGAGCATCAAACGCGTCATTCGAAGGTCGCAGGTTCGGATCCTGCCCAGGGCAAGTTATCTTTTCACCCACTTTTCTTTCTTCATATTTACCTTACAATTCGGCCTAATATCTTTCCCTATGCTTTCCGTGGCATTATTGTCTGTCAGATCTCATAATTTCTGTGTAAAAACACGAAAAAACGAGCCCTTAAGTATACACTTCTTTATATATATATATATATATATATATATATATATATATATATATATATATATATATATATATATATATATATATATATATATATATATAAAATATATATATAATATAATATATAATATATATATATATATATATATATATATATATATATATATATATATATATATATATATATACCAGCTGATGAGTGCGTGGTAGGATAACCCCCCCTCGCGAAAGAGTTGGTACGCCACAGCTTGCAATCTCATTGGCTTGATCGCCATCGGACTTTCAGTGCAGGGCTAGCTGGAACATGACGTCATGGTCGCACATCGCGGCAAGATAGCACAACCGTACGGCGATTAACCTGCTGCGGAGTGATCACGACGTAGATGGAACGTCAGGGCATCTATCTGGGCATGGATAGCGAAAGAACCAGCATGCGATGTACCGATTACACAAACGTGTCCTTAAAAAGTTGGCGTCTCGCCATGTTAGAGCTCCAACACGGCTGTTTCAGTGATGTCATTCAATGCAAGCCATCAACACGACAACCTCAATATGTGGACAACAGTGTCATACGTATTGAAGTGGCGTGTCGCACGTGGAGCCACACCCAAATAACTTTTGTCGGTCTAAGCATAGCGTACGAAGCCACAGGGGAGGGTGACAGTCCACAAACCCAATTCATTTGCTTTGTCAAATCTAGTATTGTTTGTTTTTTTTATAGCCCCTCATTTTTTAGACAACCCTAGCAAAAATTCTGATAGAAAAACTGATAGGCTATTGGTTATTGACAGTTGTATCAGTCTATAAGTGTATCAGTCTATAGGTGTATCAGTCTATGAGTGTATCAGTGTACCAGTCTATCAGTGTACCAGTACTCGTGTGCCAGCCTATAAGTGTAGCATTCTACTCTGATAGGCCCACAAGCGAATCGGTGCTTAGCCAACTGGCAGGTGCACCGCTACATCAGAGCAAGCAGGACACAAATATGAACACAGAAATCAAACAAAATATTTTATTTGATGTGCCATTCCTTGGTTAATCTTTTGATTTCATAAAGTCATTAATTTTGTTTGCCAAAGCTTTATTGAGGAGCTTCTTCATTTGCTCAACCTCTCCAATCAGAACGGTGTGCTTCAAACAAATGGTTGAAGAAATCTGCATGATCAAAAACAAAGCAAGTTACAGGCAATTAAGCGACAATTATGTGCACTCTAAATAGAGGAGTCAATATGACAAGAAAGTAAGTAGGAGTTCTACCGGTCTGCCTCTCTAATATTGTTTAAAATTAGTTTGTGGATTCTTGCATAAAAGTACCCAGCTCCAGTAGGCAAAAGCTACACTTGAAGCTTTAGTAAGTAATTAAAACACAAGTTGGCAGTGAAACCTCGGCTGATTACGTGCAAAAATGGAGCCACCAACTTCCATTAATTTTGGTCAAATTGCAAAATTTCACCTACCTGAAAACACAGCATATGTTTCTTTCTCCTTGGGAGATTTCGCCTCCCCTTTAGACCGATTGTAGGCTGCGCCAGTAACACTTCTACCGACTTGGCCTGCTGTATAAAAAATGTTAACGGCCCCCTCACGAACAAAACGGGTCTGTCTTTTCAAGCCCATGGGGTGATTGTACAGCCTCTTAGGAACGGCAATTTCTTTGCTCCGATGCACCTATAAAACAAGTCAAAGATGATGTGCACACATTAGTTTGTCAATGCACATTTTCTCATTAAAGCAAAGCAATATATCTTCAAGACAAAGCATACTAGAGTTTTATGATACCTCTCTGTCAGTGGGCACATAATTGATAAGCCGTGCAGCCTCCCTCACACTTGACTGGGCTACTTCAGGGCTGTCCGTGGTCGCTGTGGCGGTTCCAGCGTGGCAGCACATAGTGGTGGCAAAGGTGCAAGTCGTTTCTGTTTTTGAGACTTGCGGCTGCAACATCCGCAAAAGACAAGGTTCTTTGCTGCAATGAAAAAGTATAGTGTGCAGAAATAAAGTATATTGCACCCTTAATTGTCACGGTACCATCCTAGGTGTGCATGGTCAAATAATTTTTCATTTCATTTATTGCATCCTTAAAGGCCCGAGGGCATTACATAAGGGGGGGCAAAAAATACGCTGTGAGTGTGTATAATTCAAGTTGAACAAATTATTATAAACAGTACAGCTCTAATATGGTAGTTTGGTCAAAAATGACAACAAAAATGAATCAAATAACACACAAAAGAAACGCTTTGGCTGGGAATTAGAGTACAAACAACTAGGCACAAGCAAATTATACATACAGTACGTTGGTAGAATATATTTACAGCCACGGGTTAATGGGTGGAATCAAAGTGGGATTCCAATTTTGCGCGGAATGATGTGCGGTCAGGTGTGGCAACAATGGTGTCGGGAAGGTGATTCCAAAGTGTTATTGCTTGGGGGAAAAAGGAGTCGTTCATTGCGGATGTACGGCCGTTGATTCGTGCAATGGGGTTTGAATGGTTAATGCGGGAAGAAGTTCTGTTTGGGGGCTGTAAAAGTTCGTGTCTTGATTGGGGTCGGAAAAAGAAACTGTGGAGGAGGCATAGGCGCGAGATGAGGCGGCGCGACGCGAGTGATGGCAGTTCAATTGATTGTTTTAGGGCGGTGACGCTATATATGATAAACATAGCATGCAGTTGAGATATGCAATTAAAGTGTAATGATGCGTTGCATGTCACGTCTCAAAACCATGGTGTTATTATAGGGGATGCCGTAGTGGAGGGCTCAAGAAATTTTGACCAAGTGGTGTTCTTTTTAATATCCACCACACTGTGAAAGTTGTAAAAGCACATTTTCAAGTGATTAGAAAAACATACATGCATCTATACCACCCAAGAGCTTACATTGCATTCTGCTTTTCAGCAAAATTGCACGCGATGGGAATAGGGCAACTTGCTGCTGCATACAACCCTAGCAGCAGTGCGTTACAACAGCTTATGAAGAAATGATAAACCTGTTTGGAAATTTTTGCTGCGAAGGGCATTTTCCAGTAGGCTTATTCTTTCTAATGCTTTTGTATTTTGAGCCCTGAGCACATATATTCACTTCTTTCAAAAGCTCTTTCTCTGTTCTTTTTTTCAGCATTAGCAAACAGCAGGCCTCCCTGCTGCTTCTTAAAACGGTTGCTGACGTGCTTTGTCTTTTGCTTAACAGCAGCTTGACGTCGTGTTTTTTACAACTGCAGACAACCCAACACACAAATTTCACTGCTAGTTCGCAAGCACAAACAGAGCGTATACCCGCACAAACAAAAATAATTTTAAACTAGTCAATTGTACAAAAAAATGTGACTAAGCTGCGCTCATACCACAGTAGAATAAAATAAAATAGCTTTTCAGCATACTGCAATTTTACTAACACCTTCAATACGACGTTCCGGCGCCCGCGCAGTAGTAGAACAGCGATGCTCTGATATATTCGCTAAGGGGGCGGGGAGTATATCAGAGCATTGGTGCTTCATGTGTGACACGGCACCACGTGCAGAGCAAAATTGGCTGTCGATTGTAATTGCGCCGCAGTAGCACATCAGCCGCAATGTCAACGATAGCCAAACTTGGCTGTCGGTAATAATAATAATAATAATAATAATTTTTGGTGACGTATTATTGCATACATTGCACAGTTGACAACATGGCGAATCCGCTTAGATTGAATAATGATAATATGAGGGTTTTCACGACCCAAAACCATAATATGACTGAGACACACCGTAATGTAGGGCTCTGGAAATTGACCATCTGGTGTTCTTTAACGTCCACTGGCATTGCACACCAGACGGGTCTCCAGCATTTTGCGTCTATTAAAAATGCGACTGCTGAGACTGGGTGCTCACGATCTAACCCACAACCTTCGGGCAGAAAGCACCATAACTGATACACCACTGCTGCGGACTGGCTTAGCATGAAGGGGTGGATAGCAATGCAAGATGTGCTGCTGCAGCTCACTACAGTTTCAGCTCCCATTCAACATGGCAGACATGAGCGAAGCTGCTGATGGCAAATTTTGCATAAGGATTCTTCCCTAATTTCATCAAGACATATGCATTCACAGGCACAAATCACCTTGACACGCCAGGGTCAAACAGCTCTTTTCCTGCACACAATGTACCAGACCAACAAACATTGCAAGCAAAATACTGCATAAGCTACTGAGTAGAACACGCTAATAAGGTTTTCACAACTTTATGATACCAGTTTTCAGCAATAGCACTTTTCACAATGCCTGCGCAACACTTATTTTTTAACAGGGTCAGCTTGTAAAGAGGACATCTACAAATTTCTGTGTCTGTACAGTTAAAGGGGTACTAGCACCTTTTTCCAAAGGAGAGTTCACTCTGCCATACAAATCTCCCGTGTATCGAGACTGCTCTGAGAAAGTGTCACGCTCAGCAAATGCTGATCTTTTATTTTGATATTTTAGGTCAGATTTTTTGCGGCGCACCTAGCGCATCGTCAGGCTACAGTACGAATCCTAGTGACTTCACGCAGCAGCCTGGCAAGTTGTGATGGCGTCAAGCACCAAAACACAGAAACAGAACTTGCGCATCGGCCTCTTGAGTCTGGAATATAGTGTACCTTCACGAGAATACAATATATACGCTTATCAGAAGGCAAAGAAATTGTTTTATCTCGAATTTGTCATCATGGCACCAATAATTTGCCCAGTGAACTGGCTTGCACCAGTACAACGGGGGACAATAAGTGCAAGTTCCAGCGGTTCCAGTTTGATCCGGCACTGGAGTAAGCGTTCTTCAACCTTGTGTAACGTGGCAGAGGGGGAGATTGGACGCCGACCAAGCAGAGTTTACCCTGTTCGCTCCGGACGCGCACACGCCGCACAACATGCAGTTGCTCACCAACTTCGCATGGTCAACGAAGAACCCGCACCTTAAAAATGCCCCCACCTCCCAAAAAAAATTGTGAGAAAATGCGAATGCATTGCGTAGCATCCATAACGGCTTTTCGCATGCGAGAACCCAACGTTAGAAGAATAATAACTTTTTATTAAACCGTGCGCCGTTCACCGCACGCAGCGTTTTTCTGTCACAATAATTTCAGTATGTGTTTTCAGCTCTAGTAGCTAGCATGCACGGTTAAAAAATACAATCAAGTGAACAAAACAAACGCCATTCTTGGCTCGGATTTTCACAGCGGCGTCTCGAACACACATATCCGGATGTTCTTGAAAGGCGCCCAGCCAGTGAACGGTCGAGAAAGAGGTGCAAGTGGACGGGAAAGTGGGGGTGCATGGAGCAGAGAGCGAATGGCGAGAAAAGGATGGGCGAAGCACTGCACATACCCTCTCCTACACTCTCTCGGACCACATACTCCAGTTACTAAGGTCGAAGATAAGCGCGCGCGCCCGCAGCTGTTGCTGGAGAGAGGGAGTGACAGCGGAGGAGAGATAACACCTGCCGGCACGCGGACACCGCCGGATGCCCGACATAGCCCGACTAAGTAATGCATTCGCATTTATAAGCACTGGACACATGGTGTGATTCGGCGTGCAACTGCGCACGCAGCGTACGACAATTCACGAAACATGGGGAGAAAGATGACGATATGTGGCGTTTAACGTCCCAAAACCAACATAAGGAGAACAAGGCATTAGCGCTCGGTCTCCGCCCACATAAGGCTCCTCAGCTTGCATGCTCAGAAAACATCTTATGCTCTTTATTAAGCACAAAGTAAACAACCTCACTACAGTCATGTTTCGTTCTCTAATAACATCGCCAAGGAAACTACGCCTTCGCAAGTGGCCAACATAGCCACAGCCCACATTCATTCTGGACTCCCGAGCGTAGGCTTAGCAAGGCCGATGTTCTCGGTAGCCTCGCTCACTTTTCAACGTGACCTCATTGTTGAGCACTTCTTTTTGCCAGCCCAATGAAAAACTTGTACACTTATATGACGCTTTTACACATGCAACTGGTTTCCTCAACAGCACAGATAAAAGCAAAGGTCGGAACCAAGTGGGCTTGTTTGCCAGGACGGCCGGTGTCATTGTTTGTTTATGTGCGAAATGGCCTGCCGAAAGCCCCTCCATGCGTTTTGCACCGGCTAAGTAGTAAACATGATAGAGAGGCTTTTGGCCTGCCATCACGGCTCGATATCTCGTCGGAGGTTCAGCAATGAAAGTTGCCTTGCAGAAATAGCACACTTCAAGCAACACTTTATTCAATCATGAGTTATTTCACGTCATAAACAGTCTATCCAATGTTTTTCATGCCACCGGCAACCACAATATCCACAAGTACCAGGGTGATCGGGGCGGCGAGGAACAAACCTGCGACAAGCGCCCTCCAGTGACGCCCCTCGTCATGCTCCCACGTGGATGTGGCACGAACAGCCGTACGGCAAATCGCATTCAAATTCACACCATGTGTCCATCACTAAAGTGATGCCCTCCAAACGTCGAGCCTCCCTGCCGCACAGTTGCCACACGTGCGGTGCACAGCAGATGAAGCGAAGCAGACAATCGAAGAAGCAGATGTGCCGACGAAGATGCCTCACGAAAAGTACACATACTACTGCCTGGTGGAGCTGCTCATACGATGTCGTGACGTCAGGGTACAGTAGGAACAAAAACTAACTTTGAAAAGCATGCTGCAATTACTTTTCAGGGCACACTCACGCTTACCAGTACGTTTCATAAGTTCTCAGGTGCTTGGCCTATCACTTGGCGCAAAAAAAACTCTAAGTGATAAATTTCGTATCAGTACCCCCTTTAAGTGTACACAAACAAGTGAAGAGCAATTGCTGTTTCAAATATAGCCAATGATGAGGGCATGCGCAGATACTGAAGAGTTCCTTTAAAAGGGTTTCTAACAGGTCAATGTCTAACCAAATAATAAGGAACTTTGAAAGTGAGGGTGCGTACATTCATGTGACCATAATCT